TGCCATATAACTCATACAGTGTCTTGGGTAAAAATTTTGGTATAGACTACCCAACATGAGGATTGCATATGCTATGATAATAGATAACTGTAATTATAATTAGTAAACTAGGCAATCCACAGTAGGTACCAGAAAACCAATACGGATTTCCCCTGTTAAATTTTTAGAGGTTGTAACCACCAAGATGGTCAGAAAATTAAGATTAGAATCAAGATAAATTATATGGCAGAATTATGAAACATTGCCTCACTTTTGAAGTCATATTAAAATGTACAAATAAAATTATTCACATTACTTAAAGGAAATCATTTTTTCATAGCCTGTAGGTACAGTTTTGTTATTTTATAAAATACAACCAACATAAAAATATTCAAGTATATGTATATAGGGCATCATCCTGTATCCATATAATGGCTCCTGTGACTACAATAACTCCCTTTTCATATATGTTATATGTTATATGTTATTTCTTATACATCAAATAATTAAAATGCATCAATAAAATAATCACATCCTTTATACAACATATTTTGCATAATAGAGATACCCTGTATTCACAGATATATTAAAATAATATTTTTAAGATGGCTTAATAGTGCAGTGAGAAAAAATTTCAAAATCAGTGAAACTGCTACCTCCTAGGATGGTTCCAGCTTTTACATGTCTGTCTATGAAGTTTAATGATATCATTGTAAATAATAAAATGATACAGCGATGAGCCAAAAAAGACAATTTATCATCATCATCTACCTAAAGACTTACTCAACATTTTTAAAATGTGTGATATACTTTCTTTTATCTAATTTTTTTTGGTAATTTTTAGGGATGAGGCAGACATATCTGAGAAAATTTTGTTTTATAAAATGAGGTCCAAAAAGTTTTGAATACAATTAGGATGTTAAGGTCAGGAAAAATACAACTGATCATTTAATCAAAATTATATATGTAAAATGATTCAATTGGTGACCTACTTTACTTATAAGAATACCTTAAAAGTTGATCTTAAATATCATGCAACATTGCAAAACCTACAAATACAGACTTTTTACATGATCATCGACGAGGCATAGCTGGAAATCCATTGCAAACTATTTTTAGGAGACCTAACTCTCTATCAGTGTGCAGTGGTTGACAGTGTTATGGAAAATTCTCCTACATCTGTCATCCAAGTCATGAATGTCTCACAGACAGAGATTTCAGGTGCTCATAAAAGCTATCTTCCTATATAATGGAAGATTTCACTATAAAAATTTAAATCACTATGGTTCACATTTCTGTAATATATATGCAGTAGTCTCTGATATAAGAGCATTTTCAGTGGTGGAAGATGTTTCCAGTTTTGTCCAACTCAAGTAGAACAAGGATTACCTTCAGAAGTAATCCATGAAGTTGTCAAGCATTTATAAAGCAATAGTTAATATGGTCTGTTCAATTGAGAAATATTTCTTTAACCACAAAATACATTCATGTTGGATGCAATCTGTGAGATGAAATACTGTCCTTATTTTCCATTGAATTAGCTAACAATATTAAAGATTGCTTTAAAAAGGCAAAGTATTGAATAAAATTAAGTCCTCATTGAAATTTCTAGAAGATTAAAATTTCAGCTTTGATTTAGAAGAATAAGATTTAAATTTTCATACTATTGAAGTGATTTCTGAGAGTGTTGACTCTCCTTTTTGTTACATTTTATTGATACATGTTAGATATGCATAATGATCGCATTCATCATAGAGGATTTGTAGCTGCAGATCATGTATCATGATGCTGTTTTTATCCCCATTTCATGCTCCTTCCTTCAACCAATCTTTCCCTCTTATTTAAAAAGCTTTGTTTCCATTCTTATTTATTTATTTGCAGTACTGGGAATTGAACTCAGGACCTTGATCTTTCCAGGCAAGTACTTATTCTACTGAGCTATCTCCCCAGCCCCAATGTTTCCATTTATTTCTTCTCTTTTTCTCATTTTTTCCTTCCTTTCTCCCTACCCTCTCCCTATTTTATCTTTCTTTTTCAACAATTTCTTCCAGTTACCCAAAACTTATAATATATTTGGATTCTTATTTACACTTACAGTTTTTCACACAAGAGAAACAATACAACATTCAAATGCATATTGGATTTATTTCAATTAAAAATCCAGTCTCAAAGTTCATCCACTTAGCTTTGAATACCTCAAGCTAAAACTTCTTTATGGCACAGTAGGGCAACATTGTATTTTACAAAAAAACCTACACCTTTGTTAAACATTTATTTTTCTTTGTGGCTGGACAGGAATCAAACTCAGGACATCAAGCTTTCCAAGCAGAAGCTGCACAGTTGGGCTAAACCAGCAGACTCTTCCATCTTCTTTATCTTTGAAAATTGATGAATATTTCAGTTGTTACCAAGATTTAACTATGACAATTTTGCTGCTATAAACATGAACTGCATATATTGCCTTGATATGTGTGATGTTTTCAATTCTTTGAGGAAGATCCTAAGAGGGGAAAACCTGGAACAAAAGAACATTGAGTGTGAATTTTTGAGAGGCTCTACACTGATTTCCATGATAGTTGTACCAGTATATAGTCCCATCAACAGTGGAGAAAGACTTCTTTTTCCACACAGCCTCAACAGCATGTTACTGGTTGATTTCTTGATATTCATTCTCTTTTGAATTGAGAGGGAGTCTGAGCATTGTTTTAATTTGCATCTCTTAAATGATGAATTATGTTGGACATATTTCATCTATTTGACATTGCTCTTTCTTCATCTGAAATATGTGTATTCATTTCAGATGCCCATTTCTTTTTTTTAATTTATTTATTTGTGTGTGTGTGTGTGTGTGTGTGTGTGTGTGTGTGTGTGTGTGTGGCCAGCTCAGCCCACCAGAGGGGGAGGCTGGCTGGCATGTGGTGCTGGGGGATCGAACCGTGGTCCCTGTGCTTTGCCAAGCTTGTTCCAAGTAGGTGCTTTAGACCACTGAGCCATCTCGCCAGCCCCCCCCCCATTTCTTGATTAATTTAATTTGGGGCATCTGATTTTTTTTTCAGTTCTTCATATATTCTAGGTAGTAGTCCTTTATCTGAGGAACAGTTGGCAAGAAAAGTTCCCACTCTTAGGGATGTCTTTTCACTGTGTTCATGGTTTCTTTTTCTTTGTAAAAGCTTCTTAATAAACTCAGATCCCAGGGGTTTATTCTGTGTCATATTTCCTGTGAGATCAGGGTTTGTATATGAAATCTTTGCCTATCCCAATGACTTGAAGAATTCTACCTATTCTACCTTCCAGATTTAGTGTTTCAGTTTTAGTGTTTAGATATTTGATGCCTTCCAGGATTAGTGTATGATAGAAGATAGGGATCTAGCTTTAGCTTTGGCATGTGGAAAGCCATTTTTTCTAGTATCATTTATTAAAGAGGATATCTTCCTTCCAGTGGACATGTTTGGCTCCTTTGAGTGCTTTTGGATTTGTTTCTGAATCTTCTAATCTGTTCCATTGAACCAGGAGTCTGTTCTTCTTTCCAGCATAATGCTGTTTCTATCATGGTAGCTTTGCAGTGATTGTGTTGCTCTCTGCCTTGCCTCTGTTGTTAATTTTCTTTATATATTTTACTGAAAAATAAGTTGGAATGCTGTTTATGGACAGGTTTTGCTAGTGAACAGTTTAGGCATGTGTGGTTTATTGTTTCTGCAAAAGCTACTTTATGTGATCAGTAACACAAATGGAGCTGTAGACAACTTATAAATAAACATAATGTCATCCAATAAAACTAATTTATGAACCTGGAAATTTGAATTTCCTGTATTTTCCTTTAAACTTACCCTTTTGACCTTTTTCAGTAATTTGAGAATGTAAAATCCAGTTTTTGATTGGTCAAAAGTAAGTGACAGACCATATGTATCCCATGGTTGCTAGATGGCTGATATCTATACTGTTATAATTTGGAACCCATGAACAAGCCTACTAGGATATGAGCTGTGAAGATTACTTGTAAAAATGTGGTAGTCTTTCCTAGGAAAATTTCAAATTCTCTTTCCGAACAATTACTGCATAAAGTTCAATTATTGATCTTTTTAATGATTCATTATTGATAAGCACCGTTGATTGAAGAGATTCTTTTCCCTGCTGTGTCCTCTTGGTGAGCTTGTCAAAAATGTGTTTATCATATAAATTTTGACACATTCTGGGCTCCCTTTTTGTATCTACTGGTTCATTTTACTGATTTTGTGTGAGTGCTTACTGTACTGTTTTATCGTAGCTTTACTACACAACCTTCAGTCAGGAGATGTGGTGCTTTTGACTCTGATGTTCAATGCAGTATTGTTTACAACAGCTAAGGCACAGAAACAACCTAAGCGTCTACTGATGGAAGAATGCTTAAGGAAAATATTGTACATGTATGCAATGGAATAGCATTGAACTTTAAAAGTGAGTTCCTGTCATTTGTCTGACATGAACGGGTCAGATGCTGCAAG